ATTTTTATATTCCTATTGTTTAAGTTTTCTCGATGTAATTGGGGTATTGCTTATTAGAGAGAGTGCTTTATTTAATGGACTAATAGCACTTTTTCTGACTTCAGTTTCGTATGTAGCCGAACTGCTATTACTTGATGGTTGAATATTTTCCTCGCTCGATGACTGGCTGCTGTTTTCCGATATAGCTCCTTCATTGTTCTTATTTTTTTTGGCTCTCATCGCCAGTCTCAATCGGCAACTGTTACATATTTTTTTCCCCATATTTTTTTTGGTCCTAGGCATCCCCAACATACGCAGGATACTATCTGAAACTTGCCTTACTTTGGCCTTTCTTGGATGTATTTTTAACTTCAGCGGATTGAAACATTTTAAGTCATTGAATTGCCGTAGATGCAATTTATTTTTTTCAACTTTTGCCATTATTTAAATGTTCTTACTTGTTTGTTCGCTTTCAAAACAGAAACTGAAAATTTATCCGACTTACTTAACATTTTATACCAAATTTGATACTGGATCTTTTAAAGATAGGAGTACCTAGACACTCCATTTCAAATTGTTTACAGTTCTTACCTGCTTAAAGAATTTTTCCAACTGTAGCAGAATAACACTCACCATAGAAGGTGGGTGTACTTATGTGCTTCAGTTATTCAGGTAGTTCAGATAGTGTGGAACTAATTAATTTTTAAACTGATCAATATAAGAAAAAGTTCATAAAACGGTTTAATTATGTTAAAATTTATAATTTAAAAATAGAGATGATGCGGAACTAATTTAAAATGTTAATATTGTGTCACTTTTCTTGGAAAATTGATTCAAGGGTATTATGGTGCGTATGAGTAACATGAAGGACACCTGATAAATTAATTTTTTTTAAATTACTTCTGGAAGCAATATCACACTGGAAATATTTATTTTCGAAGAAGAATTTATTGTTTAATAGGAATTAAAAGTAAAAATGAAAAATTTGTGTGACGTATTCCTCTGTTTTTTTTTTACTGAAAAATCGTGTGTATGTGTTTGGAGTGATGTGAAGGATAAATAAATTTTTTAAAAGTAGTTCCAACGACAATATCGTCCTGAAATTTTTGAGTTTTATGTACAATTTTATTACTAATTGAAATCAAAAATATTATATAAGAATATTTGTAGTATATTTTTTGAAAATTCATTCAATGTAAATATAGCACGCATGTGTTTGATGTGTTTTATGAGAAAAAAAAAATTTAAAAAATTTATAAAAATCGATGCTATCATGAAAATTTTTATTTCTTAGTAAAATCTAAAATTGAATCTAAATAAAATATAAAAAATGAAAAATGTTGTGTACCCTTTTGAGATATCTTTTTTTTTGAAATTTAACGGTTAATATTAGTACTTAAATATAAACAATCTTAATTGTTTAAACAATTTCTTAAAAGCTCAACCAATTATCTTTAAAACGCAATAAATTTCAAGTTTCTACCTTTTATAGAACTTGAGATATAGCCATTTGAAAATGTGTCTACAGTGCCAATTCTCAAAACCCCATGGGTCCATATCTCCTAGGAAAAAAATTATAAAATTTTTTCCCGAGATACGGGTCTTCTTATTTTATGAAAGGAGCTCATAAAAAAAATTTCAGCCAAATCGGAGGTGATGAGGTCATTTTTTGCCAAAATCCGTCCGGTTTGTAAAAGAATGACCCATATAAAACATGAGTAGCACGATTTTGCAAAATTAACAAAAATATTTTGCATACCATAAACCAAAAAACAAATCTTCTTTTGCAATCTGCATAACACATGCAATCATTTGATGTATTTTTCAATATATATTTAAAAATACTAAGAAGTAGTACAATGCTGCACGGTAACTTTTTAAATTATTTATATTATTCTAATACGAATTTATGAAAAGGATATTAAAATCGAGTACCAAATAAAAAAGTTAACAAAAACTACTTTTGAAGCATAATCATAAATTCTTTTAACTCTGTTAGAGGTATTTGTTACTGTTATATTTTGAGTTTATAGGTAATATTAATATTTATTTAATTATAAAGTTTGATGAAATAGTACAATGTTGTAGAGTATTTTATGTAAAACATATATATATTAGAATATTTTGTTATATAAAACATGAGTAGTACGATTTTGCAAAATGAACAAAAATATTTTGCATACCATAAAACAAAAAACAAATTTTCTTTTGCAAACTGCATAACACATGCAATCATTTGATGTATTTTGTAATATATATTTAAAAATAACAAGAAGTAGTACAATGTTGCACGTTAATTTTTCAAAATATATATATTTTACTAATACGAATTGATGAAAAAGTTATTAAAATCGTGTACCATATAAAAAAGTTAACAAAAACTACTTTTGAAGCATAATCATAAATTCCTTTAACTCTGTTAGAGGTATTGGTTAATGTTATATTTTGAGTTTATAGGTAATATTAATATTTAATTAATTATAAAATTTGATGAAATAGTACAATGTTGTAGATTATTTTTTGAATAACATATATATATATCAGAATATTTTGGTATATAAAATATGAGTAGCACGATTTTGCAAAATTAACAAAAATATTTTGCGTACAAAAAACAAATCTTCTTTTGCAAACTGCATAACACTTACAATCATTTAATGTATTTTTCATTATATATTTAAAAATAACAAGAAGTAGTACAATGTTGCACGGCAATTTTTCAAATTATTTATATTTTACTAATACGCATTGATGGACAAGTTATTAAAATCGAGTATCAAATAAAAAAGTTAACAAGAACTACTTTTGAAACATAATCATAAATTTCTTTAACTCTGTTAGAGGTACTTGTTAATGTTATATTTTGAGTTTATAGGTAATATAAATATTTAATTAATTATAAAATTTGATGATATAGTACAATGTTGTATAGTATTTTTTGAAAAACATATATGTATGGGAATATTTTGGTATATAAAACATGAGTAGCACGATTTTGCAAAATTAACAAAAATATTTTGCATACCATAAACCAAAAAACAAATCTTCTTTTGCAATCTGCATAACACATGCAATCATTTGATGTATTTTTCAATATATATTTAAAAATACTAAGAAGTAGTACAATGCTGCACGGTAACTTTTTAAATTATTTATATTATTCTAATACGAATTTATGAAAAGGATATTAAAATCGAGTACCAAATAAAAAAGTTAACAAAAACTACTTTTGAAGCATAATCATAAATTCTTTTAACTCTGTTAGAGGTATTTGTTACTGTTATATTTTGAGTTTATAGGTAATATTAATATTTAATTAATTATAAAATTTGATGAAATAGTACAATGTTGTATAGTATTTTTTGAAAAACATATATATATTAGAATATTTTGTTATATAAAACATGAGTAGTACGATTTTGCAAAATGAACAAAAATATTTTGCATACCATAAAACAAAAAACAAATTTTCTTTTGCAAACTGCATAACACATGCAATCATTTGATGTATTTTGTAATATATATTTAAAAATACTAAGAAGTAGTACAATGTTGCACGGTAACTTTTCAAATTATATATATTATCTCTAATACGCATTGATGGACAAGTTATTAAAATCGAGTATCAAATAAAAAAGTTAACAAGAACTACTTTTGAAACATAATCATAAATTTCTTTAACTCTGTTAGAGGTATTTGTTAATGTTATATTTTGAGTTTATAGGTAATATTAATATTTAATTAATTATATAATTTGATGAAATAGTACAATGTTGTATAATATTTTTTGAAAAACATATATATGTAGGATTCCTTTTTATTAGAATCAAAACTAATTAATTAAATTACAAAAAAATATATATAAATGAAAAAAACTGTTTGTTCTTCCGCACACACGTCATTACTTCACACGTCTTCTTTCTGCACTGCCACACTACGTTTGTTTCTTCTTTTTTACTTCCTTATGCTCGTGTGCTGGCGTTGCCAGATCTGCGTCCCACAATCGGCCATCCTGCGATTCGTTCGACCCGAATGAAGTGTCATTGTCAGCAACTGCCCAAGGCTTCATATACTCTGCGCAACTGCTAGTCCGCTTTGACCCTTCGCTTTTTCCGATTTTTATAACATCATACGTATCGTTTGATTTAACTCTCTCGACCTCGTAAGGTCCTAAGTATTTTGGTTTTAGCTTCAGTCCTCCCGAAAACTGCGTCCTTTTGATTGCGACTACGTCGCCTACTTTGTACTTTACGGCTGGCCTGCGTCTTTGGTTATATGCATTCTTATTTTCTAACTGGATTTTCAGTATTTGTTGCTTTGCGCGTTGCCTCATTTCTTCTCGGTCTTCATTAAAAATCGTTGTAATTTCCTCTTCGATAATTTTTTTGATCTGAATATCTTCCTTTGTTTGCATTTTAGCACCAATTAATAATTCAAAAGGCGTCGTTCCAGTACTTCTGCAATACGTGGAGTTTATTATCTGCTGCACTTTGTCAACATTTTTATACCATTTAGTTGGATCTGCCATGCTTAATTTTGCCAAAACTGGCGCAATTATGCTATTCAATCTTTCGACTTGTCCGTTGGCCCTGGCTAAGCCCGTAGTAATTTTGATGTGTTTAATACTTTCACCCTCGCAATACTTACGAAAATCATCTGAAGAGAAAGCAGCACCTCGGTCTGATATTATTTGATTAGGATTACCAAAAACTATGCTTTGCGTACGCAATCGGGATATAGCCTCGTTAGCTGATGTGGTTCGAGTTGGATATATCCAACAGAATTTAGTAAAAGAGTCAATAACGACAAAGATATGCTTATATTGTTTGTTCGTTGATTCTAATGGTCCCAAAAAATCAACATGGTACGTGTGTAATGGTATACTTTCTTTAATCAATGAGTGTAGTTCGCCTTCTTGCTTACCCTGCTTCCGATTCACAACGATACATGGAATACAATTCATAATGTGTTTTTGTATTTTTTCTTCCAATTGAGGTATAAAATAGTCATTTCGGAGTAGTTCACTTGTTTTTTTTTACGGCAAAATGTCCCTTTTCATGTGCATGTCTAATTATTTCACGCTGCATACTCTTAGGTACAACAATAAGTTCTTGGTCATTTCTCAGCTTATACAACAACTCTCCTTTCTTAAAATAATCGTTGTATGAAGATTTTTCTTGTAGAATATCCGATATCGTTTTCAGGTTTTCGTCTTGCATCTGTGCTCTCCGTATTTTAGAAAGAATATTATCTTCATCTATGCACATAACGGCGTAGCGGCTTAAAGCATCAACATGCTTCATTCGCGAACCAACACGATGCTGAACTTCGTAATCGTACTCCTCTAAGAACAATATCCAACGGGCTACTCTCGTGCACAAGTCTTTCTTTCCCAATGTCATCGCAAATGCGTTACAATCAGTAACGAGCTTAAAATGCATACCCAGAATGTATACTCTAAACTTTTTGAAAGCTTCAATAACAGCCAATATTTCTAGTTCGTAACTTGTATATTTTCTTTGTGCGTCAGTGGTTTTTTTACTCATATAATACACAGGATGCCATTGTTCGTCGTCTGGTGATTTTTGCAATAAAACGGCTCCATATCCTTCTATCGAAGCATCTGTATGCACTTCCGTTTCAGATTTTTGATTAAAAATGTTTAGTACCGGTTTTTCGCTTAAGATGGTCTTCAACGTATTAAATGCAGTAATCTGTTCATCTTTTATTTCAAATTTCACATTTTGTTTCCTTAAATCTGTTAAAGGCTTGGCAATTAGCGAGAATTTAGGTATGAATTTTCTAAAATAACTCGCCAACCCAAGAAAACTTTCCAATTGTTTTAATGTTTGCGGCAATTTGTATTTGCGTAGAGCTTCAACCTTAACTTCTGACGGTGATATTTTTTGATCTTGTATTGTGTGCCCTAGAAATTCCACTTTTCTCATTAGAAACTTGCATTTTTTAAAATTCAATTCAAGTCCAAAGTCTGCACACCGCTGTAATACAACTTTTAGGTTTTGTACGGCTTGTTCTTCATTTGCTGCGGGTATAATGATATCATCAACGTATGGTAAAGCTATACCTTCATTAGTTAATTCACGAAATATCGCGTTTATATGTCTTTGAAAAACACCTGGTGAGTTCGACAATCCAAATGGCACTCTACAGAATTGATATTGTCCATTATGTGTAACAAATGACGTGTATTTACGACATAATTCTGCCACGGGCACATGGAAAAATCCATTCTTTAAGTCAATTGTACTGAACACCTTACCACTTTGTAGCCGATCGAGTTGGTCTTCTATTAGTGGCAACGGAAAACGGTCTTTCACCAATACTTTATTAATTCTTCTAAAGTCAATACACAAGCGTGGTGTACCGTCGCGTTTTTTTATCAATACAACTGGGCTACTGAATTCTGACTCCGATCGTTCAATTACACCACTTTTCAACCACTGTTCCACTTGCTCATCCACAATGCATCTCTCCGTGAACGGTAATCTACGCGGCCTGGAATAAATGGGTGTTTCGTCTTTGAGCACTATGTACATCGCCACTTGTGTTGTTTTACATTGATTCGGCTGATAATTTATGATCATTTCACGTACCTGTCGTCTCGCATTCTCACTAGCGGTTTTGTCGATATCAATCGTTTTGTTGTCATTTACTAAGTCAATTTTCATTATTTTAGCTTCTTCGTCTATGGGATCGTCTTCGTCGAGGATTTTACGAACGTTTATACCATCACGATTAAATAAAATTTCAGCGTATAAGCATAGTTCTTCGCCAATGATCACTTGTAAGTCCATGCACCGAATTGGAACGACATAAAAATCTAATATGAACTCATTATCGTCAATTTTAATTAAGTTTTTAAAATGTCCAATTGGTTTAATCCTATTTGAATTGCGATCACTACCGAAACCAATTAAACATACGTTACATTTTTCTAAGATAGGCTTATTCAACTTGTTGTATAAGTCTTCGCGAATTATATTAAATTTACTGCCTGTATCGAATAGGGCTGCGCACTGTAAATTGCCAATAAAAATGGATTTGGTAGTTAAATTGTTTTTTTGCTGTAAACTGCGCGTATTTATTTTGTTTTCGGCTTGTTCACAGTTTTTAGAAATATGTCCGTACTGGTTGCACTTAAAGCATTTAGTACCTCGATTTTTATTTTTGCAATTCATGGACAAATGTCCCTTTTCACCACAATTGTAGCATTTCACTTCTGTTTTATTTGTTGAGAAACTTTTCTTTTCGCTTTGTTTAAAATCGTTAACTTGCTTACTTTTTTCACACATTGTTTCATATGATCTTAATTTGTCTTTAAATTCATTAAGGTTCTTTGCACCATATAGTATCATTTTATTTACATAACCGTCTCTAATTCCATCTATTATATACTGAATCAGCGCTTCGTCTTCGATATTGCCGCGAGATGCGATATCTTTCATTTGATAAAAATATTCAAACACATTTTCATCTTTTTTTATTTTGCGAGCACTAAGTTGCTTATGCAATTGTGCGCTATTTGTTGTTGTTCGAAACTCATTTAACAGGGCGTGTTTTAAAGCACACCACGAATTTAAACCTCTTTCACTCAAAATAAAAAGTTTAGCAATGCCTCTAAGAGATTTTTTTGCAAACACTAGTTTTTGAAACCCATCCCAACACATTAGTGCAGCTTGTTCCTCGAATTCTTCAATCCACCTTTCTACCGAAATGATATTTGTGCCATCAAATGGTCTAATTGAGTCCTCTATATCGCGAAAGTTCATTGCAAATTTTGGTGCTTCTCTTTGTAAAAATTTTGTACGTGTGTACGCTGCTGCTTTATTATTATCATCCACTTCAAACATTTTATTGCCATTATCGTCACGAGATTTTTTAAACTCGCGTTCATTGCCTCTGAAAGTGCGTTTACTGTCAACGTCATCATCGACTTCTTCATCTCCTTCTTCGTCATCATCATCATCGACTTCTTCATCTCCTTCTTCGTCATTACATTCATCGTCGTTTGCGTTTTCGGACAACAAAAAATTTTTACGTAGATTTCGAAATATGTGCAGTTGTACATCTTTAACACAATAACTTATATTTAGTACAATACAAATTGAAACCAAATCACGTTCAGTCAAATTATTTTTAATATATTCGCATTTGCTTGCATACGCCTTGTCATTTTCGTCGTAATCGAATCCAGAAAATTCTCTCAATCTCTTTCGATTATTTCTATCACCTTCTTCTTGGTATATAAATTTATGCAACGCTATTATTATGTTTTTGCTGCTACTGCGCAGGCTGCTGCTTACGAAGTCATTTAAGCAAGTCATTGTGTAGACTGAATTTCACAATTGCCGGAAATTCAAATCCCTGTTGAGCCCCCAATTTGTAGGATTCCTTTTTATTAGAATCAAAACTAATTAATTAAATTACAAAAAAAATATATATAAATGAAAAAAACTGTTTGTTCTTCCGCACACACGTCATTACTTCACACGTCTTCTTTCTGCACTGCCACACTACGTTTGTTTCTTCTTTTTTACTTCCTTATGCTCGTGTGCTGGCGTTGCCAGATCTGCGTCCCACATATATATTAGAAAATTTTGGTATATAAAACATGAATACCACGATTTGGCAAAATTAACAAAAATATTTTGCATACCATTAAACAAAAAACAAATCTTCTTTTGCAAACTGCATAACACATGCAATCATTTGATGCATTTTTCAATATATATTTAAAAATAACAAGAAGTAGTACAATGTTGCACGGTATCTTTTCAAATTATTTATATTCTTCTAATATGAATTGATGGACAAATTATTAAAATCGAGTATCAAATTAAAAAGGTAACAAGAACTACTTTTGAAACATAATCATAAATTTCTTTAACTCTGTTAGAGGTACTTGTTAATGTTATATTTTGAGTTTATAGGTAATATAAATATTTAATTAATTATAAAATTTGATGATATAGTACAATGTTGTATAGTATTTTTTGAAAAACATATATGTATGGGAATATTTTGGTATATAAAACATGAGTAGCACGATTTTGCAAAATTAACAAAAATATTTTGCATACCATAAACCAAAAAACAAATCTTCTTTTGCAATCTGCATAACACATGCAATCATTTGATGTATTTTTCAATATATATTTAAAAATACTAAGAAGTAGTACAATGCTGCACGGTAACTTTTTAAATTATTTATATTATTCTAATACGAATTTATGAAAAGGATATTAAAATCGAGTACCAAATAAAAAAGTTAACAAAAACTACTTTTGAAGCATAATCATAAATTCTTTTAACTCTGTTAGAGGTATTTGTTACTGTTATATTTTGAGTTTATAGGTAATATTAATATTTAATTAATTATAAAATTTGATGAAATAGTACAATGTTGTATAGTATTTTTTGAAAAACATATATATATTAGAATATTTTGTTATATAAAACATGAGTAGTACGATTTTGCAAAATGAACAAAAATATTTTGCATACCATAAAACAAAAAACAAATTTTCTTTTGCAAACTGCATAACACATGCAATCATTTGATGTATTTTGTAATATATATTTAAAAATACTAAGAAGTAGTACAATGTTGCACGGTAACTTTTCAAATTATATATATTTTTCTAATACGCATTGATGGACAAGTTATTAAAATCGAGTATCAAATAAAAAAGTTAACAAGAACTACTTTTGAAACATAATCATAAATTTCTTTAACTCTGTTAGAGGTATTTGTTAATGTTATATTTTGAGTTTATAGGTAATATTAATATTTAATTAATTATATAATTTGATGAAATAGTACAATGTTGTATAATATTTTTTGAAAAACATATATATATTAGAAAATTTTGGTATATAAAACATGAATACCACGATTTGGCAAAATTAACAAAAATATTTTGCATACCATTAAACAAAAAACAAATCTTCTTTTGCAAACTGCATAACACATGCAATCATTTGATGCATTTTTCAATATATATTTAAAAATAACAAGAAGTAGTACAATGTTGCACGGTATCTTTTCAAATTATTTATATTCTTCTAATATGAATTGATGGACAAATTATTAAAATCGAGTATCAAATTAAAAAGGTAACAAGAACTACTTTTGAAACATGGTCATAAATTTCTTTAACTCTGTTAGAGGTATTTGTTAATGTTATATTTTGAGTTTATAGGTAATAT